TAGTACCATGTTGTTCGGATGTGTCACACATGACCGCATACTATTAGAGGCATAGTTAGGCAAAATGTAGATGATGCATTTAGACAAGGAGTTCTCACCTAATTGAACTAGGAGTTGTATAAGATATAATTGGTAAGCTAAGTTCCCTACCTAATTAATTTCATTATGGCTTGTTAAGTCACTCAAGGCCATAGTGGGATGAAAAGGGTCCTAGCTCAATAAGAATTTTAAAGGTTAAATGTATCAAAATAGTAGATGAGGGTTATTATTTTTATAAAATATTGAGAATAATCATATAAGACTCTAAAACGTTATCTTTATGATTATATAATTTGTGTTAATGACTAAAAATCATATATGCTTATATAGGATATAAATATGTCATGGCAAATAGTTTGTCACTTAGAAGCATACTTGATGCAAAGTTAACAGGTCTAAATTTATTGACTAGTTTCGTAATATCAAGATTGTTTTGAAACAAGAGAAAAAGGCTTATGTCCTGGATGGTCTTGTTCCCAAGGAACCTAGCGATGATGCTACAAATAAGGAAAAGGAGGCCTATAGAGTTTATATGGATGTTCTCGATCAAGCCACATGTGTGATGTTGGCTAGTATGGCTTTAGATCTTCAAAAGCAACATGAAGCTATGAATGCCCTGGATATTATCCTAAACCTTAGAGAAATGTTCGATAAGGAAAGTCGCACAGAGAGATTTGACATTTCAAAGGAACTGTTTCGATGTAAGATGTCTGAGGGAAGCCCAGCAAGGCCTCATGTGCTTAAGATGATAGGATATATCACTCGACTTGAGCAGTTGGGTTGGGTTATGGATCATGATTTGAGCATAGACCTTGTACTTTCTTTGTTACCAGAGAGCTATTTATAGTTTGTGTTGAACTTCAATATGAATAAAATTGAAATAACCATTTTGGGCTTATTGAATATGGTGACACAAGCTAAGAATACCATTGCAAAGGATAAGCCTTCAATTCATCTTGTCTCTTTTAAGAAAAATAAAAATAAAAAAATTTTTTTTTTGAGAAAAACAAGGATTGAAAGGTATCAACTTCAAAAGGTATAAAGCTTATTGGAGGAGTGAAGAAGGACAAGGACAATGACAAATGCCATTTTGGCAGCAAACTAGTACATTAGAGGTGTAATTGCAAGGATTATCTTGAATCCATCAAAAGGAAGAAGCAAAAGGAAGCTTCCATGTCAGGTATTAATCATATGATGATTTATTTTTCACTACTTGGTATATGATACCTTACTCTTTATTAATGGTTTTAATATGTATGACATATTAAAGGAACTAATGATAAAGAGCAGTGAAGAATAGGACCGTGAAGGCGACAACCTTAGTTGATGGTGATCAAGCTTGTCGACCTAGATTAGATTGTGGAGCAATAAATAATTTTAGAGCATTGAATGTTTTAATGGCATGATTGTAAAGATGAGATGTTTGGTTTTGTACCTATGGCTAAATATTTTATTTTATGTTTATGAAACATAGATTTATATTTTGCTAGCATAAGATGCTTAGCTTATATGTATATTTATATATTTACATCTCATTTTATTTTGGAATTGTTCTAAATTATTTATCCTTAAGTATAACCTTGCGCATAGATGATAATCAATGCTAAGTCATAATGTTAAGATCATTGTGAGATTTTTTATTATTATTATGATCAGAAAGGAAGATTAATGAGTTGACATAGACAAATTGAGTCATAACTCAATGATATCATAAAGCTTGTGAACATATTTAGTCAAGAGCATTCTAAGAGAATCTTGGATCTACAATTAAGATTGCCTTAGAACTAAATAACAATGATTATCATATTGTATCTCATAAGAGATGAATTACAAAGCATTCCAAACCCAATTAATCGCATGAACTAACCTTTAAAAGGATTTCATCCCACAACTAATGATGAATGACTAATGACATGTAAGTATATATAAAAGTTATGGATATAACACACCAAAAGAAAGTAAATAAGTTTACTTGACAAGATTTCTAGGCATGATAGACATAGTGGGAGCTAATGACACTTTAAAGGTCAAAGGTCATGAAATTATGAGATCCAATAGATAAGATCTGTGCACAAAATTGATTTACTGGGATGCATGAGGTTGTATAATTCATGAGATGAATCCATTA